ATAGATAGATAGATAGATAGATAGATAGATAGATAGATAGATAGATAGATAGATATAGGGAGAGATATATATATATATATATAAAGAGAGATAGAGAGGGGGAGGGCTGCCCTGACAGGTGAACATTAGACTAAAGGCATAACTCAAAAACAAATAACAGCCACCCATGCTAAAGTTAACTTGAAAGTCAAAGTTCATGTGTTTGGAGTTCACAGTTTCAGACACGATACTAGATACTGCGAAGGAAAGAACGAACTGCATTTATCAGCTTATAGCGGTGGGATATGTTGAGAGCTAACTGCCAAACGGGAGTGAGGTGTAGTTCTGTTTTAGACGGCATATAATTATGAATGATCTTAATCTCTGTATCTTAGGTACTACGTGGCATAAACATTTGCCTACTTGCAAGAGGCATAAAAACTAGCTGTGTACAAACTAATGGTTAAAACAATATAATTGCATTAAGAAACAAACAGACAAACTTACTCAAATCTAGAGCAGGGTCCCAATCTCTCTCTTCAAGCGCTTTCACAGTGTTGAGCTCAGCGTGAAGACAGACGCTGACCACGAGAAGGACCAGCGCCAGACGCGAGTGCGTCATTTTCCAAGCAACAGGACTGCCAAATCGAGAAGCCATCGACACAATGCACTCAACCGAAAGGATTTAAAACCTTTGCGTGGAAGTCTTAGAGAAAGAATGAAAATTCTCTTCTGAATGAACAAGGTCAAATCCTGAATTTCATTCACATTAATAGATGAGTGAATTTTCTTTGCTTGATAGATTAAAATTCACTCACAACTGCGAGAACTGTCAAATGGAGATACGCTTTTTGATGCTTTTTAACGAAAAGTAAACAGCAAAAATATCCGAGAACTGTTCACATCCCTCCACATTTCAAATAGACGTAAAAATCGTCAGCTTCTCCTTGATTGCGGTGCAATACTGCTGATGGCAGACTGCAAGTTCTCCCAGAGAGTAATTAGAAACGAGCACCGACAAGTACACAGCTTCAAAGTTAATTGGCAACTGGCAAACGGAGGCAGAAGCTTCTGTCCTAAGTGCGCACGGCTCTGACGATGGCGAAATGACAAAAAAATTGAGGCCCAGGTACAAATATGGCATTTATTTCTCTTTGGTACTTTCTCTTCTATATACGACAAACCTGAAAGTATGAGGAAAACTAACTAAAATGAACATGAAACGGTGGTGCGGAGGAGGGGAGCGGGGTGTTGGGG